CCTCGGCACATTGCCGCGCAGAGGTTCTGGAACGATGCGCGCGATATCGAGCTAGACCGATCTCGCAGTAGCATGGGATGGCGAGAGCAGGATTGGGATGCCCCATCATCTCCCCCGTCGCAGGTCTCAGTGTAATCGCTCCCGATGGTGGCTCGATCTGAAGGGCCCCCTGAACCGTTCGTCGGTGCTGAAATATGACATTTCCTGCCTGCTAGAGAAGTGGGAGACCGCCTAAGATCGCATGTCTGCCCGTGCTCGCGAAGGCGTTCGCCGCGTCCTCAACATTATGGTGCGAGGCAATCCCTCTTGCTCGAGGCGCCAGGAAACACAGGCCTGCGCCGCGATCGCATCCTCGCGCCGCCGACCACGGGCGAAGCCGCGGCAGTGGTAGGGAAGGCTCTTACGAACATGCCGACCCCGCAGCCATAGCCATGCGTTCCAAGCGTTGCCGAGGTTGACCTGCAGCTCCCAACTTACTGCTTCTCTTATCCAGCCCGATACAATGATAAATATAGAATAGTAGTTGGGTTCGTCTGGATCTGCGAAAGCAGGCGATCACATCGATCATCCGCTCGAGGAAAGCGGTGGCGGTCGAGGGGACGGGGCCGGCGCCGACCCCTCCTCTCTGGGAAACTCCCAGACCTCCTCGTCCAGGAGCATGAGCAGGAGCCACAGCTCCGCCGGCATCATCCAACGCGGGCGCGCCCTGCGCTTCGGGGAGGAACGAAGAACCCTGAGCATACCCTGCAAGTCCTCTCGGGCCTGCTCTGGATTCACCATCTACATCGCGTCGTGCCTGGCCTGGTCCATGCTGAAAGTCTCCTCTCCCGTGTCGCTCAGATGGGGGCGGTCGAAACGTTCGGCGAGCTCTTGCTGTAGATTACATGGTATCCCGCCCAAGCCTCCGTCTGACGCTGCCTCCTGAAGAAAGGAACTGGTCTGCTCTGCATTGCACTGCTCCGCTTTTGCCGCAAAAGATTCTCGTTGCCGAGGTCCTCGCCCCCGCTGTGATAATCTGCGAATGAGTCTCTGCGCAACGTTATGATCGTGAGCTGACCAGGCATCGTTAATTTGTTGAACCAGTTCCGCTGTGCGCTCTTGGTTGGTCTGCTTAATCAAAGCTCTGATGCGACCGCGTCTTGCCGCGAACAACACCGCGTCTTAACCTGGCCAGCTCCAACACCGCGTCTTGCCGCGAGTCGGCGTACTTGCCCGCGCGCATGCCCTTCAAGAATCTCCGATGCTCCAGCGCGAGAACGTTTTTTTCTCGAGGTCCGACTTCTCTGGTTCCAAGTCAGTCTTCTGGCGAAAATAGCCCGCGCCTCGTTGCAGAGAAGGGGGGCCAATGAGTTCCATTGTTCGTCCGTCGTCGGTCTCGCACATGAACGTGCCCACTCCTGTTTCCAATCGTAAGTAGCTCCTCTTGCACAGCTTCGATGAGCGAGGTGCAGCCGTCGCCCCTACGTGCCGATGCCGTGATCCGATTGAACTCCAAGCATGGCACACCTCCCACCTGCGATTGATAGCAGTATGCAAGCTTCACAAAAATTGGTCGATGTTCCCGGATAGGCTGGAAGCGGCGGCCAGCCGCTTCCAGAATTCGGCATGTCTTGATATGCGCCAACAAGCCCTGAGGTATGTGGATGAAATCAATTCGGGACGTCTTCCCCATATTACCGTGATATGTCGGGCCCACGTCGTAGCAGGTGTCACACGCCGCCAGCTCGAAATCTGCCAGGAATCGGCGCCATAGTCGCCCTGTGAGACCTTCCTTCGACGGAGTGATGCAGCCCGCCGCGGGGCCCCCCTCGCCCTCCACACAGTGATTGAGTTCCGCCCCGTCCAGCGCAACTTCGGGAGATATCCCCGGGCCGTCGCCCAGGTCGCACCCTTGCGACTGGCGTGCATCGCACCCCCGCAGAACCTATCGCGGAGCGGGCCCATGCAATCAGAGCCTGAACCGTTCGTCGGCATCCAGCCGTCTGGGATCCCCCCCTGCGGCGGGCATGGGAAGTAGATGGTCGTGCACATAATATCCAGCGTCGCATTTTATAATCTGATTGCCCCCGCCCGCCCTGCCAGGTAAGCTGGTGGAGCGTAAAACCGCCGAGCTTTCCCGGGGAAGAATTCTGTCGCGCAACATCACTGGGACTCAACGTGGCTGATTACTGACTCTGGTCCATCCAACAGAAATCTCCCAATGTCTACCATATCTAAATATTTGATGGCGATATTGGGCCTTTCTTCTGCACGCGCCTGGAAGGAGGGTGGCCCCGATGTCGTGGAAATCGTTGCGCAGCCCGAACCCTCTCATAGGTCCCACCATGCGCATAGGATAGCATGCGCAGGCTCGAATGCGCGCGTGCGCGTGTGTCCGCTCGGTGCGCGTGTGTGTGTGTGTGTGTGTGTGTGTGCGTGTGTGTGTGTGTGTGTGTGTGTGTGTGTGTGTGTGTGTGTGTGTGCGTGTGTGTGTGTGCGTGTGTGTGTGTGTGCGTGTGTGTGTGTGTGTGTGTGTGCGTGCGCGGGGGGGGGGGGGGGGGCGCTGGCGCGGCGAACTCGCCGCAGCCCAAACGACAATCACGATCGCAGCCTGCCTGCGCCCACGGCGAGAAGCAAGCGCCTGCAGAGCGATCCGCCACCCTTCGCGGGCTCGGCAGACCCTGCGAGCGACGCTGCATGCCGCTGTCGCGGGATCTCTTACCGCTGAAGTGGGTTGAGCCGCGAATGGGGAGGGGGGGGGGGGGGGGGGGGGGGGGGGGTCGCGCCGCTGCGGCGGCTGGGGGAGGAGGAGGAGGAGGAGGAGGAGGAGGAGGAGGAGGAGGAGGAGGAGGAGGAGGAGGAGGAGGAGGAGGGGGGGAGCAGGAGGAGGGGGAGGAGGAAGATCCGCGCGACCCCCCCCCCTGCCAGTCTCACCGCCCCACTGCTGAGCACGAGTGCTTCATTGCACCTGCGACCCTTGTACGTGCGCGTTGGGCTGTTCAACAGAACGTGCTTGAATGCCCCGCGTGCGCTGCAGGTTGCGTTGTCTCATGGTCCGCAAATCTTGTGCGCAACCAAGCCCGTGCGAGCCTGGCATCGGCTGATCAGCGCCGACCCGAAACGCGCAAGTGCTGCATTGAAAGATGCCCCGCAAGAGCGAGGGTTTCATGAGGTGAGGACTTGAGCGACACACCAGCGACTGTCTGATGTGAGTGGCACGTGTTCGTGTCATCTGTGTCCGTTCACATGCAGCTTGGGGAAGGAATTCGCCCCCGTGCTTGTTCAATCCATGGAATGCGGCGCCGCGCTCGCGATCTCAACGATGCAACGCGTGGTCCGGCGTGAGAGCAATTTCCCACGCTCGAACACGACCCAGTTGGAAGCGACGACCCAGGGGGCGCTGATGCAGCAACGACGTCCGCTGAAGGAGGGTCGACGCACGAACTGTCTTTTTCCTTGTCGTTCCGGCATGCATGTGTCTCCCCGCTCGCGCACGTCCCACGCTGCTCGGACATGAAGAAAAACCCCGAGCGATGAAACGGGAGTCCGAGCTAACGGAAACACGCACGAGGAACGATCATATGAACCAGCCGCCTCCCAAGGGAGGAAATGCGGTGGGCGCCAGCACCAAGAATGCGTTGCATACCCGACGTCGCAGCCGACGAAGGTGTGCAAAAACATCGTTGAACGAGGCAACGACGGCGAACACGACCCCGAGAAGGCACATGAACACGCCGCCGCTCAGGGTGGGCCAAGGCCACGGGAGCCCCCATGCCCGCGAAGACGCACTCGAGCATCACCGAGTGCCGCCAGCGGCGGCCCAGAGAATATTGGAAGTGATGCGGACGTTGTCGCCCGCCGCCGTCGCCGCCACGAGCTCCGCCTTCGACCGAGGCGAAAACATGGGTTACTTTGCTCGCCAACATCGGGACCAACAACCTCCGCGGACACCAGGGCGACGCCCGCGCCATGTGTTCCAGTCGCCGCCAGCGCCAGCGAGGTCGGGTAACCGACTCTGGCTTCGCCTCTGCGAAAGAAGAACGTCAGCACACGAATCGTCGTTGATGTCGACGTCACTCGCGGCATTGGCGGGGGTTTCGGCCACGGGGCCGTCGAACGCCAGTGGCGCGCCAACCCCCACCACAGCCTCCTCCACAGCCGCCGCCTTTCCATGTTAAACCGCGTGCCGCCCAGCCAGCCGCAGGCGACGCTGACGGCGCCTCTCACGCTGCGCCTCCGTGGACACACACGCGCGCAAGGAACCGCAGGTCCGTCGGGCTGGGCGCCGACGGACCGGCAGAGGCCCGCTGCGTCTGCCCAGCCGTGAAAACTATGGTGGGCCCAGCCGAGCGCGCAACCGCGGCCACCGCGCGGCGCGGCGCGTCACCTTTCATGTCCGCGCGGACCGCCGCCTCGACGAGGCGCGCGAGGTCGGCAGCGGCAGTGGGAGCCCTTTGCGCGGAAACCATCGCGGAACGGCCCAGCGCAGGCATGCGATCGCTTGATCCGAACGTTTGAGCCAAAAAGGGCCACGGAAAAGGGGGGGCACCGCCTCGACTTTGGGTGAGGCCACGGCGGGCGGAAACGCACGAGCACGCGCGGCCCGACGAGACAGCAAAACAAGGACATAAAACGCGAGGCAAAACTCGCGAGGCGCATTATCGGAGACGGACAAATATGTGGCGTCGTCCGGAGGAAGGAGCGGACTCGGAAAAAAGGGACGGAATCCTATGATGATGATGATGATGATGATGATGATGGTGATGATGATGATCATGATGATCATGGTGGTGATGATGATGACGATTCTGATGATGAGGATGATGGCGGTGATGATGCTGATGATGATGGTGATGATGGTGATGATGATGAAGATGTTGATGATGAGGAGGAGGAGGACGAGGAGGAGGAAAACGAGGAGGAGGAGGAGGAGGAGGAGGAAGAGGGGGAGGAGGACGAGGAGGAGAGAAATGAGAGACAACAACAAAACGATGCCTCCGTTCCCCCCCCCGGAAGGCGGCCTCTGCCCGCTGCACGAAGCGCAGGCGCCCCAGTCGCTCCAGTCCGCGTGCTGGCAGTCCTCGTGTTTATTTGGCGGTGGCGCGCCTCTTCCGCCTCGCGCAGTGCTGCCAATGCTGATCCTCTTGTCCTCTTGCTGCTAACGCACCACCGAAACGCGAACACACAAAATCCGTGCATGGAAACTTGTGGAAACCACCAGCAGGAGCTCGCCACCCGGCCGTAAAGCACTCGCCCTCCGAAGCCGTCGGCGCAACACCACAGCGCCAGCAGGGCGATGCGGGCCGCATTGAAGCCTCCTGTTGCTGCCGTTCCTGCAGCTGGTCCTCCTTCCTCTCCCCTCCCCCCCAGTCCCCAGATCTTCGTCGGCCCGATGTTCATCCCAAGCGTGTTTCCTCGATTGCGGCTCCTGGGGGAGGGTTCGGGACCTCTGGGGCCGCGCATTGAAAGACAACAAAATCCCCAGCTGCCTGGTGATGACGTGCCCCCCGCCTCAAGTGAGGAAAGATATGCCGATTTGGGTCTCTGACGGTATCTTTTGCTGTCAATCCAGGCGCTTGTCCTCGACGTCATGCTTTCGGACCCGCTATCAAAATCCGGCACCATCAACGATGGATCTGGGAAGAAAACTACCCGCTGGGAGGCGGCTGAGCCTTTTGGGGCCACGGACCGGAAACAAAAATCATTCGGGCTGGTGTCAGGGTCCCCACCTTCCCCCCGCCCCTCCACCCGCCACCCTCTCTAGAAGGACCAGCAAAACATGAACATAACACTTTCGCTGAGTTGTGTGCGCATGGCTTGGATCGGCGCTAGGCCCACTCCCTGGCGCGCGGAGCGCGCCAAGGGCGGCGCTGGAGGCACCGCCCCGGGGTCCCAGGGCCGATGCAAAACAGCCGTGGAAGGATCTGAGGACCGCGGCCTGACAAACCGTCAGGAACCGAACCCTAGACACAGACGCCGGCCTCAAAAACTCTGGGCGGGGCCCTGGCGAAAGCCCAGCTGCCGCTGCTGTCAGCGAGCAGGCGGACGAACAGAAATGGTCGGACCTCTGCGGGGACGCATCTACATGTGCATGCGCCACGCTGGTCTTGGGCAGGCTGCGCTGCCCTGCAGAATAGGACGAGGACGGGAGAAGCGGGCAGACGACGACGAACGCCCAGGCGGGAGGCCAGGGCTGGCGGGGCGGGCAGGCAGGCAGAAGAAGAGCCAGGCGGGGACAGCAGGCAGGGAGCAGGAGGAAAGGGAAGGGAGGGAAGCAGCGAGCAGAAAAGGAGGGAGGGGGAGGACAAGGAGGGGGGAGGGGAAGTAACCGCAAGCAGACAGGCCAGGCCAAGGGCCGGGAGAGAAGAGACACCCGCGACGAGGCTACGGCCCCTACGACGGCGACCTGGGCGGGGTGGCCGACCGAGCCCAGCACGCTGCGGATTGGTGCGGATTGCACTTTGCGGGATCCATCCACCGCCCCGCCGAGGAAGGGCTGGACGGTGCGCCGATCCAAGAAATCCGCGCGGAGCGCCGAGAAAAAAATGTTCATGCAATATGTGTTATTCGATCCATCCTCCACCCTCTCATCTCCCCTCCGCATCGGTCACACACCCCACGCACCCTTCCTTGCCCGCACTCCCCACCCTGCGCCCTTCCGTCTGCTCCTGTTGCTCCTGCTACTGCCGCTCCTGCTGCTCTGGACTCGTGAATGTGGACGAGCTCCGCTGCAACCTGCACGGTACACGGAGACGGCGCACCCGCGGACCGAGGACAGCCTCGAAGGTCTTCTGCTGCGACTTCATTTTCTGATTTCTAGTCGTCTTCTTGATGTTATGCTGCTTCTTACTTGTCTTACTAGTCTTATTCGTCTTCTGCTTTTTCGTCTTCATCTTGGGGCGCACCAGCGGGCCGCTGCCAAGACGCTATAACGGCGACGGGGGGAGACCAGCACCGCGGTGGCCCGCTTCGGCAAGGCCGCCGCCCGATGCTGCTGGTCGCGGAGCGGTCGGTGCGCACCCCGCGACGGGGCCAAGTTAGATCCGAGCACGTAGTTATGCGAGGCGGGGGTTTATCCATATCCACCACCTGGGAGACGACGTCCTGGTGCCCCAGCGGGCGGTTGATATGGATACACAGTTCGGCCCTCGGGGGCCCGAATATGTCCATTCCACCGCCTGCCGAGGCTCCGAAAACTGACCCTTCAGGCGGTGGTCATGTATAAATTCCCGCCTCAGAAGTCATGCGCCCGACCCTGGAGGCGTGGGAGGCACCGTGGCCTCGACCTCCAGTGGGCCCAGAAAACTGGGACCGCCTCCAGAGCAACATCCCCTGACGCGCACGCGGCCGCGCTCGAGCAGCCCGTGCGCCCCTCGAGAGACAGGCGGGGCTGACGACACGTGCCCGCTGCTCCACCGACATGGGAAGGGGCCTTCCCGATGCCGAGCACAGGCCCAGGGAGGGAGGACGACGAGCGTGGGAAAAGACAGGGAGAACCAGGAGGAGGAGGCGGGGGCGCGCGCCCGCACCGCTGCGACTGCAGCGCACCCCGCTGCGACTGCTGCCGCTCCGGCTGCTGCCCTTCGACGCCTTCCCGGGGGCCCGTTGGGTTTCGGCCTCGTGCCTGGACTGGGTGACGCGGCACCGGCGGCGCTCAACGTCGACATGCCGTGCCCTGTCCAGCAGCGCTCGCTCAAGAAGCCCAAACTTTACGTCGGCGCGCGGTGGCGAAGAACACGGTCGTGGGGCGTCGGCGGCCGAAACGGGTTGTCGTCCCAGGTGGTTTCCTGGCGGCCCTGCAGCCCGAGAGTGGCTCAGGAGGGGAAAAAACACACAGACACAATTAATCGTCGACTCCCCAGAAAATATGGGAAGTAGTGGGGAAGACAACAACCCAGAAAATATGGGAAAATATGGGGGATCCTGTTATTTGTGTATTCATTTGTGTGTGTCCCAGGGCCCTTTCAGTGGCCTTCGGGGGAGCGGAAACGAAGCGAAACGCATGTCTTGCTTTATGTGCAACGCGTTGGGGACCCGGAATTCGAGGAGAAACTGGCAGTGGCGACGCGAGGGCTCTCCAGAGCGAGCAACGCTACTTTGGGTTTCTTAATGTGAGCGTGGGGGGGTACCCTCCCCACAGGGGGCTCGGAGCGCCTTCGGCGCGCGATGGCTGCCCGCGACGGGGGTCGATGTGAGGCTGTCGGCGAGAGTGACGCCCCCCGTCGCTTATCAAGAAACTCGGAGTATCTATATATGGTCTTTCTGACCTCCTCCTCCAGGATCCGTCAGCGTCGACTCGACTCGGATCGAGAAAACAAATCAGATCGAAACGTGCGTCGATCTGGCCGCATGCGGAACGAAACGGGAATCGGCTCGGACCGGCCACGCTGGGAGGCACAACAACTTCACGCGAGCACCAGAACGCATCGGCTCGTCAGAATATTGAGATCGAATCGGATCGGGCCAGACGGACTCGGTATCGAAACATATCGATAAAAGGGCTCATCCGAATCGCCCAGGATCTCCCGAGATGTGTTCCAGGAGTACACGGGCGGTACTATAGTTTTGACCGTAACATGTCATCCGCCGAGACCCCCCGCCCCCCGTAGAATCTGAGCGAAAGGTTTCTGGTCCGGCTGCGGTTCCGAGCCCAGGGGCTCGTGCCCTGGAAACATGCGTATATATACATATATATATATATAACATGGTGATCATCACTCCGCCCCACAAAACATGGAAAATCACTCGGTTCTGGCCCGAGTTCCACCCTATTCACTCCGTGTGATCGTCACAGTCGGCTTCTTCATCATCTGCGTCATCGTCGTCATGCCCGCAATGCTGTGTTGACTCAGTGTGCTCGTTTGCACGTCGAGGCCGAGTGACCCTGCACACCCAAAAATCAACGCAGTAGCTCTTGCCTCGGCTGCAGCTTCCCCAGAGATTTCACGAGGGCTTCCAGATTGCAGATGGGGTCACGTTTGCGTCTTGAACCGGTCATCGGCGGCATGCGGCACCTTCTGATTCTTGTCAGCCGACGGTCGAAAACCTTAGTACCTGGCAAGTCCTAAAATATCTCTAGAATTAGCTTAATCTATACGGAGTTAGATCGACTTACGTGATGTCGGTTGAAAAAACCCTTAGGAATCACATGCTTGCCCCTCTTCGTCATCATCATCCCCCTCCTACTTATGATCCCTACGTTCGTTACACGTTTGCCCCGATCTTCCCACTCCTCAACCGCCCTCGATCCCCGCAGCAGACCCTTTTCAAGCTGCTACTGCTCCTGCTGCTGGTGCTGCTCCTCGTCATGACCACCTTCAGCAATATCTGAATCCCACCAGCCCTTTAGGGCGTAGGTGGTTTAGGGTGTTTCCTCTTCCACCCCCTTCTTCCGCTTCGGGGAGAGGTTTACCCCTCCCCCTACCCCTCCCCTGGACGGGGCGTTCCGCGAGTCGCTGGAGCGTCCAACACGGCCTCGGCGAGGAGGCCAAAATCAATGGTTTTACTCGGCGTTTGACCCCGTTTTGGCCTCTTGGGGGGGCACCGCTCATTGAGGGACCCCCCTTCTTTGATCGATCTCCTCCGAGATGGCCCCAAGAGTGCTCCCAAGGCTCCCAAGGGTGCCCGAAGAAGGCCCCAAAAGGTGGCCAGGAGGCCCCAAGAGGTCCCCAAGAGGCCCCCAGAATGCCCCTAAGAGGCTCCCAAGAGACCCCCAAGAGGTCCAAGAGGCCCCTCAGAGGCTCCCAAGACGCTCCAAGAGGTCTCGGCGACAATGCCAAAATCATTGATTTTACCAAAAAGGTTTTGGCCACATTTTGGCCTCATGGGGGGGCACTGTTTAAGATGACTCCAAGAGCGCCTGGGAGAGCCCAAGATGACCTTCAAGATGGCTCAAGATATCCCAAGATGCCTCAAGATGGCTTCCACGATGCTCCAAGAGGCCCCAAGACCGCTCCAAGACGGCTCCAAGTGGCCAAAGAGCTCCCCCCCAGGAGGCCCCGAAGAGTCCCAAATCCTTCCAAAACCTTAGGAAACTCAATGTCTCTGGCTTTCTCGCCTTTTCGCTTCCGATGGCCATCCGAGGCCTCAAGATGGCTCCAAGATGGCCCAAGGGGGCTCCAAGAGCGCTCCCAAGGCTCCCAAGAGCGCTTCAAGAGGACCCCAAAAGGCGCCCAGGAGGCCCCAGGAGGCCCCAACAGGCGCCCAAGAGGCCTCCAAGAGGCTCCCAAGAGACCCCCAAGAGGCGCCAAGAAGCTCTCTCCGAGGCACCCAAGACGCTCTAAGAGGGGTCTGGGACCGCCAAGAGGCCCCCAAGACGCTCCAAGAGGCCTCCACTGGGGACCCTTCCTCTGTGTGCTGCCCTCTGTGCACACTCGTCTTAGAAAACCCTCGCAGTCACACGGATGAATGACGGCTCGCTTTCAAAATGGTGCTCTCGCCTGATACCTCCTTCACGCGTCTTACTAAAAGTGATAATGTGCGAGAACTGCACGAATGGAGTGTAGCTCTTGTTCGCGAGTAGGGTCTCGCTCGAGACTTCGGTAGAGCGTAATGCTAGGAGGTCATGCGAATGCATGAAGTAACGCAAATGGATGGCGGTCCGTTTCAAAGCGAGGCTGTTGGCTGCCACTGTCGCAACGCAGGGCTGTTACTCTTCCACCATGCCAAATGTTTGCGGTTGTCGAAGGATGGAAGGTAACTTCTTTCAAACATTAACTCCAGCCTGAAATGTGGGCCCATGGGCAATCGTCTTTCAACGGGGGCACTTTGCGCAGTAAAACATGATATTTGTAGGGACTGATACAAAAGGGGCCTTAGGAGGGTAGAGTAAGTGCAGCAGCGCCGATACATCAGGGGGCTACTCGGGTCCTCCTCCTCCTCCTTCTCCTCCTCCCTCTGCCCATTCCACCCACTCTGGGCGCTCCCTGCAAGCAAGATTTCTCGAACGCAGGCTGGAGCTCACAATTCGGAGAATGCCTGGGGCCAGGTGAACCCCAGCGTTTATGGGACCCACAGAGGGTGGGCCCTCTTCTTAGCGAGAGCCGCCCTCGCGCGCGCACGAGGGTGCTGGGGGGACAGTTCTCGGGGGGACACATCTACTTGGAGTCGGCGACACATCTCCGATGGATCGGCGATGGGCAATCGATATCGAATCCGTACGGTCCTGGGCCGGGCGGAGATGAATGGGAGATTGGGGGTCAATGCGTTCCCCTCCGAGCATTTCCCCCCCTGAAGTTGCCCATGATTCCAGAGGGGCTGGCTTTCAGGTCATACCTCGGCTCTCTAGCGGCCGTTCGGGACGATCCGGGCACCCCCGTGACGCTCTCGGCGAGGCGCAGCCGCTTGAACGCACCCCGAGGCTGGAACAACCGCCGAGGATCGACCAAATCTGGAAACATTGAACCTCGATCCCGAAAAGTCGACCCCCCCTTGATCGGGCGTTGGCAGAACTGGGCTTACTGGGACCTGGTTTAGTTGTGTGTACGGGGGGACGCACGCCCCGCCCCGTTCCACTCACCAGAACTGCCGTCACCCGAAAAAAACACCAGCTGCGGCAGACCTGGTTTAGTGATTCGCCAATTCAGGGGCTCCGGGGTCCTACCACTAACCGGGCCCCCTTACCTGGGGCCCTGGCTATACCCGACTTGAGCCAAATTTTCGGGTCGTAACTCGGCTCTCCGGCGGCAGGTCAGGACAATCTAGGCACCACTGGAATCCCCCTCGACGAGGCGCAGCCGTTGGAGAGCATCCCAAGTCTGGTAAGCCGCCGAGATTCGACGAGAACACCCGAAAACCTCAAACCTATGATGTCCCTGGAAACTGGGGGAAATCAAAACGAACCATGGACCCCCTCCTGTCAAGCCGCATTGCCCCTCAGAGGGCGCCCTTGAGAGCGCGATGCTTGTACACGACCGCCCACGCAAAGACCACGGAGCGGAGCTGGCCCGGCACAAAAACAGCTTGACCTGGGGACACGATATCTGCACACCACCCCCGCAAACTAGCTGGTGAGGCACAGAGTGCGCGGGCAGGGGCGGTGGCCATAGATCGGCCGAGTCCTGGACGGGAGGCCCGCCGCAGCTCACGTTGGCGCACTGCCCCACCTCGGCCAGGGAGCCGTTGCAGCCCTCGCGCGGCGGGCGCCGGCCGCATCGTCCGTCGTCCTCGGACGCGCCGCCGCCCTCTCCTCGTTGCGACTCTCGTCGCCGCCCCTGTCGTCGTCAGAGTCGGCCGCGAGGCCACGGTGGCACTCGCTGGCGGCGACTTCCGCGTCCTGTCGCCTCACGAGCTCGAGGCGGCCCCGGGCGGCTGGAGGAGGGGGAGAGGAGGAGGAGGAGGAGGAGGAGGAGGAGGAGGAGGAGGAGGAGGGGGAGGAGGGAGGAGGAGGAGGAGGAGGAGGAGGAGGAGGAGGGAGGAGGAGGAGGAGGAGGAGGAGGAGGAGGAGGAGGAGGAGGAGGAGGAGGAGGAGGAGGAGGAGGAGGAGGAGGAGGAGGAAGAGGAGGAGGAGGAGGAGGAGGAGGAGGAGGAGGAGGAGGAGGAGGAGGAGGAGGAGGAGGAGGAGGAGGAGGGAGGAGGAGGAGGAGGAGGAGGAGGAGGAGGAGAGAGAAGGAGGAGGAGGAGGAGGAGGAGGAGGAGGAGGAGGAGGAGGGCCGTTGAATGGAGCGCCGCAAGGGCCGCGGAAGCGCCGCGAGCTCGCTCTCTTCAGGACCCTCTCGTCGCTGTGGTGCGTCGGAAGCCTTGAGAGCGCCCGCGCCGCCGCCGCGCCGGGACGGTGCGAGCCCACGGTGTAGAGGTGCAAACCAGGGGAGGGGATCCTCCTCCTCCTCCTCCTGCCCCCCTGCGCGCCCGACCCGCTCGTGCGTGCACCGCCCGCCCGCCCCGCACGCCAGCGCGCCGCCCTCGAACCGCTGAGGACCCGCCCGCCCGCTTCGAGGCCCAGCTCGCCCGACCCGCCAGTGAGGGCCCCGCCCGCCCGCCCCGCCCGCGAGAGCCCCGCACGCGCGAATGCTCGGAAGCCGCGCCCCCCCAGTCGGGCGCGCCGAAAGGGGGGGGCCAGGACGAGGGGGGGTGCTGCATCGCGGCCCGGACGAGGGGTGGCATGGAACGCGCTGGAAGATGTTGGCGGGGAAGGGCATGGCACCCGGGGAGATGCCATGGTCCCGGCCATGACATCCCTCTCCCTGGCCCCTGCCCTCCTCGAAGCCCAATGGCTTTCGGGGCCACCACCCGGGCCTCAAGCGGCCGTTCGGCTCGACCCAGGCACCCCCAAGGGCCATCCGCGATGCGCAGCCGGCGGAAAGCATCCCGAGGCGGGGAGACCTCCAAGAACGGACGAAGCCTTCCTCCAAGAACCGTGCGCGCGTCCTTGCCCTCTCCCCCCTAATCCACACCCCCCTCGTCCGATCCTTGCCGCTAGAATTAGGTCGGGCATGTCCCCCTGCAGGCGTACTTTGGACGAAAAATATAAAAAACAACAAAAAACAAATCGGACATCGTCCCCAGACTATTTACCTAACAGCGAAGACTGATGGGTTTCTAGTGGGGTCAAAAGAGAGCAGCATCTTGACGCCCCAGGGGGGTCTGGGCGGGATCCGGACAAAACCAGACAAAAGGGTCAGCCCCAGGAATCCTTTGGACTTCTGAGGGATCCTCAGGAATCCATTCCCAGAACACCATTCCCAGGCCACATTCTGAATGCCCGGAGCCAACTGTAGGCCACTTCGTGTTCTTCGTCTTCCCAAAACAAAATTCCCAGGCCACATTTGAATGCCCGGAACCAACTGTGCGCCACTTCGTGTTCTTCGTCTTCCCAGAACACCATTCCCAGGCCACATTTGAATGCCCGGAGCCAACTGTAGGCCACTTCGTGTTCTTCGTCTTCCCAAAACACCATTCCCAGGCCACATTTTGAATGCCTGGAGCCAACTGTAGGCCACTTCGTGTTCTTCGTGTTCCCAGAACGCCATTTCTGTACCATATGTTGATTGCCCGGAGCCAACTGTGAGGCTGAGGCTGAGGCTGAGGCAGGCTGAGGCTGAGGCTGAGGCAGGCTGAGGCTGAGGCTGAGGCCGAGGCAAGCCGAGGCAGGCTGAGGCTGCGACTGCGAGAACAGCAGAATTCTACAACTGGATTCTTACCTGAATCTTAAGGGGAATGCTTCCAAATATGCTTATACACATCGCTGTTAGGTTGCTTTGCCGGGATTTTTACTATTTTCGAATATTCCTCCTGCAGAGGGACAGGCCCGACTGAAAGCTAGAAGTCCGCGGGTGGGGCAGGGAGGACTCCCCGCCCCTCAAGGCGACCCAGGGCGGCGCAGCGAGCGGGCGCGCGCGGCGCCTTCCCGCCGCTGCGCGGCTGGACTGCAACCTGCGTGGGGGGGCGAGCGCGTTCCACTACGCGCAGAGCAACTACTTGCAAGCGACCTGGATCCCCTGCTGGGGATCCACGACACCTTACGTCAAAGCAGACAGGTGCTTTTGGGACGTTTGCGAGTAGGCACCGTGGAACGCGCTCGGCGACAGTGGGGGGCGTGGGGGGGCGGGCGGCGGGGCCGGGAAGGGGGGCGTCGGCAAGCCTGAGCCGGATCGAACCTCCAAGTCGGATCGGATCGCGACCGGATCCGATCGCCAGCGAGTCGTCCCAAGTCGCATCGGAAGCGTATCGCCGTGCCCAGCTCTGGACGGCCCCGACCAGTGCTTGCGCATGGTGCCTACGAATCATTGCGAATCGACAGACTCGCGGACACTGCCCGTGACTCGAATCGCATCGAATCGGTCGTAGGCGGCCCTGAGTCGGCTTACGGGAACTCGGGAACTCAATGACGGCTCATCGTTAACCGAACACGGGGGTAAAAGAGGACCTCAATCTCTCCAGGAAACGTAGGAGAAAGTACCCCCCGGGCCAGCCTGCCTCAGCGGCCTCCTGCAACAGGCGGGGGGGGGAGAGGGGGGGGGAGAAACGCGCGCACGTACCTTTCCAGCATCCTTTGGGTCCGCGGTGGCAGCTAAAGAGGCCGCTTGGGTCCCGTCAGGCCCACCTGTCCTGCAATCCTCGGTCCCCTCCACGTGTGGTTTCCTTCCGGGTGTCGAGCGTCCAGGCTCAGACCAGGATTGAGGGTCCAGGATGCGAGGTTTGCAAAACTTCTGCGATTCTGGGACCTCCTGGAGCGCCCTCTCCGGCACGGCTGGATTCGCCTCACAGAATGAAGCCCAGGACGCACCCCAGGACAGGCCCAGGCGTGGAGGCGGGGAACGACAGGGCGGGAAGAGATGGACGAGCAGGATAATATGAAAGGCCAACGTGGTAGAAGAGTTGGAGTGGCAAGAGATGGGAAGGGAGCAGGGATGCATGCGATGGCAACAACAAATTCATAAATATCAGCTGTCGGAGGTCCGCGTGGATTTCTGACAGGCGCTGGACTCACTGCTGCCGCCACCAGCCTCGATCCAAAAAAGCTTCGTGAACCTTCGGAAGCCAATTTTCCTTCGAATGAGAGGGGCGGGGAAGAAGGATGCGGAATGCTGAGGGATCTAGGAGAATGGCAGAGAAGAGGCGGAGGGATCAGGAAGCAGAAGGAGAACTAAACGCGAGGATGAGGCGACGAGGATATAACATCGACGCGAGAACGGGGCGGACGAGTATCTGCAATACCATCGGGACTCGCGAAATCGGTGCGGACGTTACGTTCTTGTGAAACCGACAAATCCTCCTCCTCCCTCCTCCTCGTACTACTACAATTTCTACTACTACTACTACTACTACTACTACTACTACTACTACTACTACTACTACTACTACTACTACTACTACTACTACTACTACTACTACTACTACTACTACTGCTACTACTACTACTACTACTGCTACTGCTACTGCTACTACTACTACTACTACTACTACTACTACTACTAAAACTACTCCTACTACTACTACTACTACTACTACTACTACTACTACTACTACGACTACTACGACTACTCTTACTACTCCTACTACTACTACTACTACTACTGCTACTACTATTACCACGACTACTTCTACGACTGAGAACTACGACTGCTACTACGGCTTCTACTACGACTACTCCTCCGACTACTACTACTACGACCACTACCATTACGACTACGACTACGACGACGACGACGTTTACTACTACTGTTACCTCTACTTCTACTACTACTACTACTACTACTACTACTACTACTACTACAACTACTGCTACTGCTACTAGTACTAGTACTTGTACTCGTACTACTACTACTACTACTACTACTGCTACTACTACTACTACTACTACTACTACTACTACGACGGCGACTACTACTACTACTACTACTACTAATACGACTACTACTACAACTACTACTATTGCTACTACTACTACTACTACTATTACCACTACAACTACTACTACTAGTTCTACTACGTATTTTAACTACTGCTACTACTACTACTCCTACGACTGCTACTACTACTACGA